ACATTTAAAGCCCGTACATATCCTGGGACTCCAAGTCCTAGATTCTCTGGACTGAGCCAAGCATGCCACATGGCTCACTTAACTTTTTCAGAACTCAGCTTTTCTAGCTCCTATATTTCTTGTTCTGAGGACTCTCCTAGCTGATATTAAATGTTCTAAAGGTTCTCCCATCTCTGATATCATGTTTTCTAAGGGTCTTTCCAGTTGACCCTCCCAGCTCTGACTTTACAGGCTTTTAAGCACCACCTCGAGCTCTGACATTTAACATTCCATTGGCCCTCTCAGCTCTGACATTCTGTGTTCTCAGGCCTTTCTAGCACCTACATTCCATGTTCTAAGGACCCTCTCAGCTCTGACATTCAGTGTTCTTAGACTTTTCCAGCTCTTACATTCTGTGTTCTAAGGGTTTTCCCATCTCTGACATTTCATGTTCTACGGTGCCTCCCAGCTATGACATTCTATATCCTAAGGGCCCTCTCAACTCCGACATTTCATATTCTAAGGGTTCTTCTAGTGGCACTTCTTGTTCTAAGGGTCCTCCTGGCTGTGACATTGTATATTCTAAAATCCATCCCAGCTCTGCATTCAAAGGCCTTTCCAGTTCCTACATTCCATGTTCCAAAGCCTATCCAGCTCCTATATCCATGTTCTAAGGACTCTCTCAGCTTTAATATTCCATGTTCTAAGCATCTTCCTCTGATATTCCCTGTTTAAGGGCTCTTTCAGCTCTGACATTCCGTGTACTGAGGTGCCTGACAGCTCTGAAATTCCTGTCTACATTCCATGTTCTAAAGGCTCTCTCAGCTCTGATATTCCATGTTCTAAGAGCCCTTCCTGCTGACATTCCTTGTTCTAAGGTCCCTTCCAGTTCTGATATTCCTTGTTCTAATGGTTCTCTCAGCTCTAACACTCCATATGCTAATTGTGCTCCCAGTTCTGACATTCCATGTTCTAACAGCCCTCCCTGTTATGACATTCTGTGTCCCAAGTTTTATCTCAGGACTAGCATTCTGTGTTCTAAGATCCTTCCAGTTCCCTACATTCCTTGTTCTAAGGGCCCTCCAAGCTCTGACCTTCTCTGTCCTAAAGGCCCTCCCAGCTCTGACAGTGTTCCAAGGGCCCTCTCAGCTCTGATCTTCTGTGTTCTAAGGGCCCCTCCCCTTCCTCTGACATTCTGTGACTCCAGAGATAAACAAGGTTAGGTCAGGGAAGCCTAGTCCAATAGACTCCTAACTGTCATTCAGATGGAGTCTGGCCCATTGGGAAGTTGGGGGCTTACAGGGTCATAGCTACTGAAGACAATCATTTAAAGTAGAACATCCATGCAGGCAAGATGTGTTGAAATAACAGAAATATATAGATGAAGCACACAGAGGCTGTCAGGCCAGAGGAAGTAGATTCCCCAGAATCTGGTACAGAAGGAAGAGAATGCCTCAGTATCTGGGCTGAGCTGTGGTGCTCAGATAGAAAGCTTTCTGGGGCTGATGCACCTAGGGCAGCTGGCAACATGGAATCTTCCCGGGGCTAGGGCCTATTTATAGACCCCACAAGACTGGCAGGGCAGGTGTTGGCTGAAAGAGGGGCCAGGCAAGGCAGTGATCAGGGTGTGTGTATGTGTAAGGGGCGGGGTAGGGGGGATGGAAAGGCATCAGGAAAAGAGAGAGCTCTGGGAAGCTAGCCATATAAAAGCCACTCTTGTATGTCCACTGACTACCCCCTCCTTGGTGCTGAGCTGGGCTAGGTTGCCTGAGCTGTAGAGGCCCACAGTTCCGGCCCCACTCGAAGGGAAGGAAGCTCTGCTGGCTGCAGGCACCATGGGAGCCGACTGAGCACACTCAGTCACTGACCCTGGGGATGAGACAGGCCAAGGGAGCCAAGAGCCAAGGTGCTGGACTCCCTCCTGAGGGCCCTAGGTCCCTGTTCCCCTTCCTGAACCCAGGTCACCCCAAAGCCCCTCCTCCCTCCACCATGGGCTCCCAAGGGCATCAGAGCACAAGAGAAGCATCAGAGACTTTCAGGCGATTGTAAATCTTTTGAAAAGATGGGAAAAGACAGGGAGGGATCACTGCTGTTGATCAACTCTTGGAGCTCCATTTCTCTCTCTGCTGCTCGGCAGGACTGATTCCTAGGACCCTCCCTCGTCACTGATTCAGTTTCCAACACTGTACAAGGGACCCAGAGAGCCCAGTCCTCTTTCTTCAGAGATAAGTACTTAGAAATCACCAAAAGAAATCTACAACATACTACTCTTCTCAGAAATCAGTGGTTCCCCACTGCCTATCAAAGAAAGCATAAACTTCTGATCCTAGTTACCTATCCCTTGTGCATAGTTTGCCCTCCAGGACCTCCCATGGCCTTTTGTTTGTACCTTCTACCATGCCTATCATGTAATACTGGATATTCTTGCTATCTGTGCTAGTGCCTTGCCCCAGACTGGACTGAAAACTCCCTAAGGGCACAACATTGTCTTCTCTAAGCTTTATCTCTTGCCCAGCAGTAACAGGGCAATATTATATTTATAGGAGGTACTTTAATAAAGCATTTAATTAATTGAATTGGTCCTCGAATTCAAGGCCCTCCTCAATCTGGTGTCACGTAAGTGGTCCAACCTTTTATCCCACGCTACTCCCTATTATGTATTCTACGCTCCAGGAAAAAGAGAATGGCTTAGAATCTCAGAGCTTGGGGAGACTTCAGAGGGCATTCAGTCCCACCCATTCCTAAGCAGGAGTCCTCTCAATAACATCCCTGACAAGTCAGCCCCTGCGTAGGGACCTCCCAGTGGGAAACTCACTGCCTTTTAAGATAATCCATTCAGCCTTTAAAGGGCTCTCATCCTTAGGGCTTTCTCCTCACATCAAACACAAATCTACCTTTCAGTGACTGTCTGCCATTGCCCCCAACCAGCTCTGTCTTCTGAGGCCAAGCAGAATGAGCCTAAGCACTCCCCACTGGGCAGGTCTTCAGCCATCCTCAAACCCTGTCCCTTTCGTGTTCTCTTCACTACGCAAAAATACATCCATTTCTTTCCACTGATTCTTGCATGGGATGGTCCCCAGGCCTTTTACCATCCTGGGTGCCCTTTGGGGTACAAGTTCTCCATCCTCTGATTTCATCTCTGTGCCTGTGCTTGCAGCATCCCTTCCCAACCCCGACTCCAGTCATTAAACTCTGAATCACTGCAATCCAATTACCTCCTTTCAAAACCCACTGAAGCCCTCCCTATCCCACCCCTTCCCCTTCCCCCCCAATAACCAGCCCCTCCTCTTTGCTCAGATCACTCGTCTCTGCCCTTTTGTCCACTTTCCTGAGTGTCACAGTTACATGTGTACATATTTAGGGGTGTGCTGGAGCCAGCTCAAGCCGGCTCTTGCCAATTATTAAATTTTCCGTGTGAGCATTTATACCTCAGAAATCAGCAAATCAGGGTTTGATTTATTGTTTTGTTGATCATCTAGACTTAAGAAAGTGGAGAAAATGTTAATGATGTAGATTAAATTTCAAAGTATGTGTTTCTCCTCCCTCTTCCTCCCAGAGTTGGTTGTTAAAATTTACCAGCACACCCTGGGCATGGCTTTCCCTCCCATCAGATCATAAGCCCCTTGAAAGCGGGGTCTTGCCCAGAGCGGATACACAAAATATACTGAACAAAAGGCACAGTAGAGGTATATGACTGAGTAATTCCCAAGGAGGAAAAACTCAGGCGCAGAGGACAGGAGAAGCAAAGTCCAGGAGGTGGGAGAGGGCAGGAGAAGGGGAGACAGAAAGCAGTCCGGCTTACTTGAATGTATGAAGGACAGAAGCAGTATGACACGAGGCCAGAAAGGTAGTTTAGAGCCAAAATCGTGGAGACAAAGACACACTCACACACCACTGGTAGTACGGGGGCCTGGGGTGCTAGTCAAAGACCAAGACGGGGGCTGCAGACAGGAGTTCTTAGGGTGAGCTCACCAAAGAGTGAATAGGTAGAGAACAGCAGAGTAGAAAACCCTGCTGGGGATAGAGGATTAAAGCTCTCCTGTCCCCCACCCCCAACCCTGGCAGGGATCCCTGAGCTTGGATGCCTCTCTGTAAGCGGCATTGACTTTCTCCGGGCTGTGATGGGTTCAACAGGGGTAGAGGTGCCCCTATCCCAGAATTCCCAAGTGAGGTCAGGAAGAAGAGTTCTGTGAGATCCCTCAGACATAGGGGGGTGAGACCTGGAGAGAGGCAGAAACCAGGACCCCAGCATCCTGGCTTCCTATGGAAGGGACTGCTGCATTTCCCACTGAGAGCCTTCCCAAAGTGAAGGAGTCAGTCAATGCTGGTCTCCCTCCTGTTAAGTAAACTGAAGCATAAGCAAGGGGACACACCCAGCCATCCAGCCATCAGAGGCTACGAGTTCAGCAGCCCTGGCCCCCCTGCCCCTCCATTCAGTGAGGAAGGAAGACACACCAGACCTTGCCTAGGCCCAGCTTAGCCCCAGGTACCTTGACCCAGCTGAGTCCAGACACTTGGCTCTCACTTCCCTTAGCAATAGCCCTTCCCTTCTCTGGTCCCTGGTTTCCCACTGTGTAGCTAGCAGTCAGTCTTTTTGAAAGGCAGGATGGAAAGAAGGGGAGCAAACCCCTGGGAGTCTATGCTATATGCTTAGAGATCCACAGAGAGGCAAGAAGCCCTAGAGAGAGAACAAAGACCCATGGACCATAGATATAAGGCAGGTTAAAGGTCACATGAGCCATCACTAGGCATGACCAGGAGGATTCCCATGGGAGCTAGGAGACAGACCAACTCTCACTTACCACCCTCACCCCCAGACTTTGGGAGCAAGGATTCAGATGGGGCCACTCTTCCTGAGCAGGCCAACAAGCAGAGCTAGGTTTTCATTCCTGCTCTGCCTTGTATCCCTGTGGAACCAAAGCCATTTCTGCCTAACAAGGTGCCATCCCCCCTCCTCCCGTCACCTCCCAGCTGGAGGCATGCCATGCTCTCCTGGTTACTGTACCCCTAGACCCCCTTACCAGCAACACCATCATTATCCTGGGGATCCCTGAGGCCTTCCATGCTTCTGGGACCAGGGGGCCTGGCTGGATACAGGGCTGCCACAGGGCTACCCTCCTCACCATCTTCAGCTTCCACATCTTCTTCACTTTCTGATCTCAGGACCAGGCTAGGCGGTCTCTCAGGGGCAGCAGGCCTGGGTGGTGGGGCTGTGCCCCCCCCAGGGGGGCCTTCCATCCCTGGGCTCCGGAGGCTCAGCAAGACATTGGAACGGGCATCCAGCTCACCAGGAATCTGGCAGGAGAGAATGGAGAACGCTTAGGGAAGGAGAGAAGGAGCTAGCTCCCAGGGACCCACAAGGCAGAGGGATAGAACACAGCAAGATCATGAAGCCGAAGGGAAAGATGAAAAAGTTCCTGGTCAAAGGGATAGCAAGAAACCCTTAGGACTCCAGGCTTCTCTCTCCACTTCTGCTTTTCCTGTGTCCCTAGTCCTCAGACATCTACCCTCCCTTGACACACTTTAGTACCCCCAGCCCCAATGTCATGCCAGTGGGTAAGCAGATTAGAGGTCAGACTCAGGAGGCCCCGGAAGAAGGATGAGAAGAGCAGGAGGCCTCACTGGTCCAGAAACAAAGAGTTAGCCGGGGGGTGGGGGTGGGGGGATCTGAGCCAGTTTCCTATAAATACCTTCAAGGTAACAGCAGAAAGTGAAGGACAGGAATGAGGCACTGTCTCAAGAGACAGGTTGGGAAGAGAGAGGAATGGGGCCCACTGACTGAGGCCAGGGAGGGGTACGGGGGGAGGGAGGGGTGGTTTTGGGGGAAGAGAACAGGGAACAGGCAAAGCAGTATAGATTACTAAGGACTCCTGGGGCAAGGCTAGCAGAACTACCCCCCTCCTCCCAGTCTCATGGTTCAGGGAGTCTCCATTCCCTATTTTGGGGTTAGAACCCACAGGACCAGAGGCCTGGCACATCCCTGGGTATTACCTAAGGAAAGCTGAGCACCCCCGACTGAGCTCCAAAGGGCCATCCCCAACCTGGCCTAAGCAGACCCAAGTCCTTATTCCCTGATAACTGTCCTTGTGTCAGAAAAATAGGTCCAGGCAATAAGGGACTTGGCTTTCAACTGATCCTGGCCCAAAAGCAAGGGATCAGAAGAGAAGAAAAATGGTGCCCCATGAAGATGCTAAAGAGGCAGAGTTAAGATACATAGTCTCCTGCCCCAATCTAGGGACAAGCAAGCTTTCTTCTCTGAGGAGAAGGGCAACAATTAGCTAGAGAGTAGGCTCCAGGTTCTCTGGGCATAGTTGGTACTGGGAGGCCATCATCATTTCTGGAATTGGCAGGGCCAAGACTTTCAGAGACTCTGGCTCCTTGGGTGATGATGCCTGGATGGCCTGTGGGGATGGGGAGGTAGGGTGGTGGGGCTGAGGCAGCAAAAGCACTGTCTCTTCAAACCCATACTACCCGATAACTGCTGGGCTATGCCAGGTTGGCACCTGTAACTATCTCTTCAGTATCCTAAGTCTACAGAAGGAAAAAGGAAAGAGAAGGTGCAAAGGGGAAAACAAAGAGGGAAAGAGAAGAAAGGAGGAGAGAAGAGGAGGAGAGAAGGAAAAGGGGAAGAAATAAAGAAAGGGAGAAGAGAGGGAAGAGGAAGGGAAGAAAAAAGGGATAAGAAAGGAAACAAGGGATGAGGGAAGGAAGAGAAGGGAGAGAGGGAGGGTGAAGACAGAGGAGGGGGGAGGAAAATAAGAAGGAAGGGGTTAGGGGGGAAGATAGGGAGGGAAGAAAGGAAAGGGGAATGGAAGGAAAGGAAGGAAGAAAGGAAGGGCAAGGGAAAACAGGAAAGGAAGGAGGAAGGGAAGATAGGGAGGAAAGGAGAAAAGAAAGATGAGGAGGGAAGGGATGGGGAGGGAGGGAAGGAAAGGAAGGAGGAGGGAAGATAGGGAGGGAGGGAGAGAAAAGGAAAAGAAAGGGGAGGGAAAGAAAGGAAGAGGGAGAGAAGGAAAGAAAAAAGGGAGAAGGAAGACAGGGAAGGAAAGGGAGGGAAGAAAGGATAGGAAGGGGAGAAAAGAAAGATGGGAGGGAAGATAGAGAAGGAAGAGGAAAGAAGAAAGGAAAGGAAGATAGGGAGGGAAGGAAGGAAAGAAAGGGGGAGAGAAGGAAGGTAGAGGAAATATAGGGAGGGAAGGAAAAAAGAAAGGAGAGCGAAGGAAGGGTAGGGAAGAAAGGAAAGAAAGGGGGAGAGAAAGTAGGTAGAGGGGATATAGGGAAGGAAGGAAAGGAAGGGTAAGAGAAGGAAGAGAGAGGGAAGATAGGAGAGAAGGAAGGAAAGAAAGGGGGAGAGAAGGAAGGGGGAGGAAAGATAGGGAGGGAGGGAAGTAAGGAAAGGAAGGGGCAAAGAAAGAAGAGAGAGGGAAGTTAGGGAGGGAGGGAAGGAAAGGAAGGGGGAGGGAAGATAGGGAGGAAAGCAAGAAAAGAAAGGGGAGGGAAGGAATGGGGAGGGAAGATGGGGAAAGAAGGAGGAAAGAAAAAGGTGGGGAGGGAGGATAGAGAGGGAAGGATGGAAAGGAAGGGGGATCGAAGGAAGGGGAAGGGAAGGGAGGGGGAAGGGAAGGAAGCGAAGCAAGAAAGGAAGGGAAGGAAAAGAAGAGAGAAAAGAAGGGAAAGAAGGGGGAAGGGAAAGGAAGGAAGAGAGAAGGAAAGGGAAAGAGGTAGAGATGGGGGGAGGGGTCCGAGGACCCAGGCCCGCGTCTCCCGGGGGCTCCAGGCCTCCCGGGCTCTCTGCCCCAGGGGAGAGTAGATTCAGGACCGGGCCCACCCCAGCCCCCAGTGCGGCCCAGCCCCCAGCCCCCAGCCGAGGGGGAAGCGGCCCCGCCTCCCGGGGACACCTGCCCCGGGGCTCCCCCAGCCCCCGGCCCCGGCTGGCCCCTCTCCCCACCTGCCCGGACCCCGCCCCCCAGCCCCGCCCCCGGCCAGGCCCCGCCCCCGGGCCCTCGAGCCCCCCGCCCCTTGGCCCCCGGGGGTCCCGGCCGTGCCGGGCCGGAGCAGGGGCGGGGGGGGGCGGGCACGGGGTCGGGGCCGGGCCCGGGCCGGGGCCTCTCCCTCCCCCGGCGGCTCCGCCCCGCCCCGCCCGCAGCGTCGGGGGCTCCCTGGGCCGGGCCGGGTCGGACCAGGCGGGCGGGGGTCCCGGGGCAAGACTCACCGCAGGGCGGCGCTGCCGGCCGGCCCGGGGCGCTCCGGACTCCGTTCAACGCGGCCGCCGCTGCCGTTGCCGCTGCCGCTGCCGCCGCCGCCGCCTGTCCCGGTCCCGCGGCCTCCGCCGCCGCGCCGGGGACATTGTCCCTTTAAATCTCTCCCCCGGCCCCCTCCCGCCCCGCGGCCCGGCCGCTCCGCCCCCCGGCGCGCCGCCGTGACCTCAGCGCGACAGCCCCGTCGTGACGCCATGTTGGGGAGGTCGGGGTCACCACTCTCCCCCTTCCCCCCCACCCCAGCCGCTGCCGCGGCTTCCCTTTGGGGTAGGAGGGAGGGAAGGGGTGTGGCAGGTAGCACGACGCCATGTTCGGAGTGGCTAGGACATCTGCCGACTTAAAGGGGCCGCTGTACTTTAGGATGCTCCTTGCTCTGGAAGGGACCTTAAGAGATCGTCCAACCCTCTCATTTTACAGAGCAGAAAAGTGCAGCCCAGAGGAAGGGAAGTGACTAACCCAAGGTCATGAAGCAAGTAAGTGGCCAAGCCGGGATTCAAAACCAAGTCCTTGAGCTCCAGATGCAGATCCAGACCCAGCCTCCTGGACCCTCCTCCTCCCTGTCTGGGTTTTCTCCAAGGGTCTAAAAAGGGGTACCTGGTCCTCTCTGCGTACCCCCCTCCAATTGTTTTTCCCAAAGCCAAAAATATGGCATCTGTTACAATGACAGCAGAATTGGGGGGGGATGCCTCAGTTTCCCCCCCTCCTTCATGTAGGAAAGTCATCACGTGGCACATGGCAACCAAAAGGCATCGTGCGCCCGTCCAGGGAGGTGCTCCTGCCTCCCTCTGCCTGGCTCAGAACCGCGTCTGGACTCTTGTAATCAGGTCCGGTCACCACATAGGGAGCCCATGGAGGAAGGCGAGGAGGACGTGGGGATCCCGAACTTAGAGATGGGGGTGGGGAGAGCTCTTAAGTGTCATCTAATACAACTGGGGCCTCCAAGCATTTATGTTCCATGCTTACTGTGTGTCTGGTGCCGTGCTAAAGGCTGCGGCTACAAATACAAACAAAAAGAAAAGCTATGCCCTGCCCTCCAGTGCTTACATTCTAATGGGAAAGAAGACCACCTCAAAAAGGAATCTGAGAAGTGGTTCTACATCGAAGCGACGGAACTTGGTTCTCAGAGTGCTCAGATCCTAGAACGAGAGTTCCATTCCATCAGTACCTAGGGAACACATCCCACCAGAAACAAAGGGGGCTGTCTTCAAGTATTGGAAAGGGTTTCACAAGGAAGACTGATTGGACTTGTTCTGCTTGGTCCCAGAACACATCACTGGGATCATTGGGGGAAGGGGAGAGCAGGGGGAAATTGCAGACAGGCAGATTTAAATTTAATTCTTGAACCGTGTGTGTGTGTGTGTGTGTGTGTGTGTGTGTGTGTGTGTGTGTGTGGTGTGTGTGTGTGATTTCATTGGCATAGAAACTCTCTCCCAAGGAAGGGCTGCATCTGTTTTGAAATTTAAAGTCTTCACCGAGACCTTAAGGGACTTGCCCAGGGTCACACAGCCAGAATGTATCCAAGGCTAGTTGTGAACCCAGGTCTTTTTTTTTTTTAATATAAATTTATTTATTTTTAGTTTTCAATATTTACTTCCACAAGTTTTTGAGTTCCAAATTTCTCACCCCTCCCCCCACCCCAAGATGGCATGCATTCTGAATACCCCTTCACCTGGTCTGCCTTCTCTTCTATCTCTCCCCCCTCTCTTCTCTGAACCCAGGTCTTCTTAAGACCACTACATGCTGCCTCTCTGTAAGAAAAGCCTTCCTAACAATTAGAGCTGCCCCAAAGTCTCTTGAACCCCCTTCCCTCCAGGAGTCTTCATTGCTGGAGGTCTTCAGGCAAAGATTAAATGACTACTCACCAAATAAATGGCAGAGGAATTTTTGTTTAGGCTAAAGGTGAAATCAGTGACTTCTGAGATCTCTTCCAGCTCGGAGATTCTATGATTCTAAGAAGTGTCATCAGGGAAATGTCATTAGGAATTCAAATAAAAAGAAAATTTGCTCAGCTCCCAGAGTGGGTCCCAGTTTATAAGGTCTAAAGCAGGGGTGGGGAACCTACAGCCTTGAGGCCACATGTGGCCCTTCTAGGTCCTCAAGTGTGGCCCTTTGAATCCAAATTTCACAGAACAAATCCCCTTAATAAAAGGATTTGTTCTATAAAACTTGGACTCTACACTATTCTAATCTGGCTATAGTACCAATCCTGTTTCTCAGCTCATCCACTTTCTCACGAGCCCAGAGCCATGTGGCACTCAGATGAGGAAGGCATATCTTAGAATTCAAATGTAGAAGGGACCTGAAGAGATTGTTTAGTCCAAGTCTCTCATTTTACCAGTGGGGAAACAGGCCTAGGGAAGAATTTGCTCAGGTACACACAATTAGTGAGTAGCAGAGCAAGGAGTCAAACCTAGGTCCTATGACTCCAAATCCATGGTTCTTCCACTAAACCATCTTCTATTCTGGATTCTTGAGGGCATTTAATTCAGAAAACTTTTATTAAATAGCTACTGTAAAGACTTCCGCCTTTAATCCACAGCAACTACCTGTAAGTGTGTGATCAAGATAACCCTTGCTCTCGCTTGTGGCCCCTAATTGAGCTATCTTCATGATCCTAAACTCTGAAACTGGCCTCAGAGGTTCCTTTCAGCTCCAGAACTATGACCCCATGCTCCTCTCCCTGATTGCTATATCCAATCCTTCCATCTCTCCCTCTAATTTACTCTAATTCAGTCTTTGTTGTGACTTCCAGTTCCTTCCCATCCCATTTTTGACCTCATGGTTGACATGTTCAACCACACACTTCTGCCCGTGAATCTCTTGCTTGTCTCTAAATCTCTTACTTCTTTGTTTTTGTTAAAGCCCAGCTCTCATCTACCTCTACTATCCACCTTCTTCCTCTTGAGCAGCTGCTGATTGCTACTGGAAAGGGTTACACTGCTGTGTCAACTGCTTTCACTACTGAGTTAGGCCATTCAGATTTAAATTTCACTTGGATCCTTACAACTTGGGGGCAACTTTGATTTCTCTCTGATTGGCTGTCAGTTTCCACAGTTACTATTCCAAACCTCCTTTCCCTTCCCAAGCCTCTTTCCTTGTCTCTTAATCTCAGCAGATCTCTTTTTCTCCTTCGTGGAGAAAATAGAAGCTCTCTGTTGACCAACTTCCTCTCCTCCCCTACACTACACTTCAAAACTCCTCCATCATCTCCCATTCCTCTTCTTGCAGGAGTCCCCTTTGTCCCAGATGGCACAAGGAGTGACCCTTGTCCTTGCCAAGGCCAACCCGATTCCTTGTTCTCTTGATCCCATTTTCCTCATCTCTTCTGAGTGCTTGCCTTATTGATCTAGCCCTCTCTTCTCATCTTCAGTCACTCCTTGTGCACTGGTTTCTTACTCTTTGCCTATGAACTTGGCCAGATCTCCCAATCTTTAAACCTTAACTTGGCCTTGCCCTCCCCTCAGACTATCACCCTAAATCTCCCCTCCCTTTTACAGCCAAAATCCTGAGAAGACTCATACTCCTTGCTTCTATTTCCTCACCTCCCACTCTATTCACAACCCTTTTCAATCTGGCTTCTGACTACTGCTGAATGTAAAGAGCCAACTCCAAGGTTAGCAATGATCTGTTAATTGCTAAATCCAATTGCCTTTTTTCAGTCCTCCTCCTAATGGACCTTTCCGGAAAGTTTTGAACCTTTTGATGGCCCCTTATTCAGTGATGCACAATATAATTCTCCAGGCACTGTGCTGAGCACTGGGGATACAAATACTAGCAGAAAGAAAGAGTCCCTGCCCTCAAGGAGCTTACATTCTGTTGGGGAAGAAAACATGCATGCATAGCTATCTATAAGATGGGTACAAAGTAGATACTAGATGAGGCACTAGTAATACTGGGAGTATTTCACCTGAGTCTTTAAGGAAGCCAGAGATTCTAAGAAATGGGTTCTCTTCCTGTGTGTTAGCTCCTCAGTCTCCTTTGCTGGGTCATTATTTCTCCTGCTACCTTGTCCCCTGAGGCTCTAGATTCCCAAGTCTATACATTCCAGCCTTAATCTCGGTCCAGAACTGCAGTCCTGTATTATGTCCTATAGGCATCACTACCTCAACATCTTTCCTCCAAAAACCTTTCTGTTTCTATTGCAGGCAGCCCTGGTTCCTTCCATTCGCCAAGATTCACAACCTTGGCACATAGTTGACTCTTGTCTCTTCTTTCCTATGCGGTACAAGCAGTTACAGGTCTTTGCTAACACTTCCACAATATCTCTTGCATAATAATAGTAACAACAATAGCATTTATATAGCACTTTACAAATACTATCTCAAACTCACAACAACCCTGAAAGGTAGATGCTATTATTATTCCCACTTTACAGATGGGTAAATTGAGGTCAAGACAGAGGTCAAGTGACTTGCCCAGGGTCACACACCTAGTAAGTGTCTGAGACCAGATTTGAACCTATCCTGAATTCAGACCCAGCATTCTGTCCACTGTGTTACCTAGCCACACATGCCCCTTCTCTATACTCACAGAGCTTTTACCCTAATTTAAGCTCCCATCACCACTTGCCTGGACTACTTTAATATCCTGCTAATTAGTCTTCCAGCCTTCAGTCTCTTACCATCTTCATCTCCATCCGCTATGTAAATAGCAATTTGATGTTCCTAAAACACAGATCTGATCATGTTATTCCCCTACTAAAAAATCTCCAGTGGCTTCTAATCTTACTCTTCGATAAAGCCTGGCTTGAAATCCCTCCACTTTAAATCCCACCTGCCTTTCTAGTCTTATTTCATATTATTCCCCTTCATGCCCTCCATCTTCCAGGTGAGCTGGCCTATCCACACTTCATATGTGACATTCCCATTTCCCTGGCTCTACACAGCTGGTCTCCCATGCCTAGAAGACCTTCCCTCGTCATTTCCATCTTGGAGCCTGTCAGATTTCCTTCAAAATCTTTCCCAGTTCCCCACAGTTATCAGGTCTCTCTTCCTCCTTAAATCACTTTGTGTCGCCTCTGTATATATCAGCATATGTGTCATAGCTGTCCTGCATCAGGAGATCGGAAGCTCTTGGAGGACAGGCTCCGTTTTGCACTGTTAGCTCTGTATCCCCAGTGCCTAGCACAATGCCTGGCACAGAGTCAGCACTTAATAAATTCATGCTGAATTGTGTCAGGAACCCTGCTCAGGTATTTTGGTGGGCTCCCAAAGCACAGGGCTGACTTTGGCACCTCTCCCTGTGCTCAGTAAACTCTAAGTGTACATCCAGAATCAAATAGAAATCCTTTGTTTGCACTTAGAGTTCTTTACTACCCAGGCCTTTCAGACTTTCCCAGTCTTCTTATATTTTAATATCCTCCATACACTCTGTGATCCAGCCACACAGGCCTCCCTGCTGTACCTTATATAAGGCCCTCAGTTTCCCACCTCTTTCCCTTTGCCCTGGCTGTTCCCCTTACCTGGAAAGCCCTCCCTCCTCACCTCTGCCTTTTAGAGTCTCTAGCTTCCTTCAAAATTCAGCTTATCCACCAGTTTGGCTTTTCCCAGTCTCCCCAGCTGGCAGAGACTCCCCTCTAAGGTTACCTTCCATCTTTTTTTTGTTTATACCTAGTTACCAGTTTTCAGCCCCTTAAGCTATAAGCTCCTTGAGGGCAGAAGCTTTTTTTTTTTAATTTATGGAATAAAACAAGCATTTCCATAACATCATACAATAAAAAAAAATGATTGTACATGAAACTGCAAATCTACCATGCACAACTTGCTATTCCATTCAAATATACTACAAAATTATCATGTAAATTTCTTTTTTTTCTCCGCCCCCCCCAGCAAGGACCCTTTTTTACCTTCCTTTGCCTCCCTAGTGCTTAACATAGTGACTGGCACAGAATAATCACTTAACATATGTATGTGTATATATATATGTATATATATATATATATATATATATATATATATATGTGTGTGTGTGTGTGTGTGTGTGTGTGTGTGTGTGTGTGTGTGTGTGTGTATTTGTCTGTTGA